TACCCAAGCTCTCCAAAACTTCATGCCTACCATTGGATCTATCTCCACTAGGGATAAGCCACTTGTTCACCGGGTGTACACCGCCTCCGTCTCTATCAGCACGTAGCCATGCCCCATATGGCTTCTCTCCAATCCAATGTCCATTATGTGTAGTAGATGGACAAAATCGGTCAACATGTCCAACAATCCCACGAAAGAGAAAACATTTGGCAGTCTTTCATACCAAAAGTCCACCCATATCCAATTGTCCCCGGGGTCATGTCGAACCGTCAATCTCCTGGTTAAATCCACATTTATATTAATGGTTACCCTTATGCGTAAAACAATTCGTTGCCCCCCCCCCCCCCCCACGAGAGTGTTCATCAACTTGGATAAAGATCCCTATACTGTTTCCAATTCCCCGTGATGTAGCCTAAAGGCAAATTGTGAATCTGAACTTAAAATATGCTCGTTCCAATGGTATTTCAAGCTAAGAGGCCTATCAGTGCGCCATAATCTCCTTATAACCACTAAGTTTTGCTCGAAAGACCAAGGTCCCTCCTCAACAACTTGGGTAATGTCCCCTTCATGGTAAAACCGGAGAAGAAACTTGGAAGCGCAAATTTCTTCAATGGTGACTTCCCGAACCGATCTCCACCCCCTGGCCATGGTTTCACGAAAAGAGATTGGACGGATAGGTTTATTCGTTACCACCCTGGCCACAGTCGAGAAACAAACTACCATGTCAACCTCGCCATCACCCCCTATCAGGTTTGCTTCCCGGACCAGACCCGTTTTCTTCCTCATCAATGGTAACTTTGTTGTAATCTCAACAAGCATATCCATTGGAAACAAAACTAAAAAACTAAACAGTCAGAACCAACACAAAGCAACTGCAGGAACTAAACAAACCATGAGATTCCAACAAAAGGAGACAACCTCCTCACAAAAGCAGCCTCCAACCAATATGGATCCTTAGCAACAAAACGCAGAATTCACGCCCAACAACAGAGAAAAACCTTTTGAAACCAAATCAGCAATCAAAAAACATAAGCATTGTTCAAAGTGAACGTAAAAGAAACCTCTACAAAGAAGAGGTCAGACCAAAAGATGGTAAGCTACTTACACGTGAGTCAAACTGCAACAACTGGGATAAAAAACGAAAAATCAGAGATGAGACAGAAACGAAGAAGACTTGGTGCGAACAGACGATGCGAGGAGACAACGTTGCCACAGCTGATCGTTCGATCAGAATCCCTCCGCTAGGGTTCTACATACTATTTCACGCGGTTGTCAAATCACTAAACATTACAAATAGTTTTTTTTATTGAAGACACTAAAATTTGCCGTTTTCAAAGATTCTCTTACTACATTACGAACATGTCTACATGTATCCAAATTATTGTACATTTGTATTTGATTCAATATTGTATCATAACCCTATGAATCACATAGGTAGATGGAAGGTTCAATTAGAAGCATATATCTCAACTGTTGAACTTCATTATTTTGTTTATTCTTATCAAGAGAATCAATATTTTGAGCAAACATATATAAGAGTCAAATGAAGATTAACACAAAACCATGTGAATTAATCTTCATGACTTCATGAGTTCATTAGTGAAGAAGATCTGAAATTCATTGAGATATTGACATCATAGGGGAAGGAACTTAATCTTTCTTTCATTGAAAGATATGATGTTCATAGATCACTGGTGCAATATAGAGGAAGAATAGTTATAATATTGTAATCGTAAATTAGATATTTCAATTAATTTTAATTATTAATATTTTAATTAATGATTGTGTTTAGCAATGTAGAGGTTATGAGACTCTCTGGTGGAAGATTGAAACTCTCTGGTGCTACTCCTGAAGTCTTGTTTTTTTAACTATTTTCTCATTAATCTTTAAGCAACTGGTGAACCGTATGGCTTTCTATTTTGAGCCATGCTTGGTGTACCCCAAATTTGTACACCATGTGTACACTACCTCTGTACATAGGCATTTGACAGAAAATCCTGCCATTTCTCAAACGAATTGCCTGTGTACAAATTGGGTACCTATAACATTTGTGTGCTATTTTTGTTTTCCTTTGTTGTGACTTATTATAATGGACCGTATGAGATGAACTTCAAGTCCAAAGTCCAATATCTTTAAATTTAAAAATGTCTAAATTTAAAAATTTCCACCCACTTTTAAGCCCAATTAGTCACTTATCTCAAAAAGTAAAGAGCAGCTTGGACCTCCACTCTTCTACAGAAACAATTCATCCAAATATATATAAATGCTTCATATTATCATCATCATTGTTATTAGAAATTGTTATTATTTTAAAATGTCTATATTGCAATAACTAATGTTCAATTTATTTAGCATTTGAACCACCAAGTGTAATTTAATTTTTACTTTTGTGAGTAAATAGATAGTGATAAAAAAAATAAGAATATTATATTTTATTTTTGGCAAATAAGAATATAATTTATACACTTATACATGTGATTATGTGAAATGTTTCAATTGTTTGAATATTTCCAATTAATATGGCCTAAGGACCAATATTAATTATATGTGTTCTATATTTATGTATTATATATATAATTATGTATGATATATATGTGTATTATTTGATGGAAATAATATTTAAGGGGTACCATTGAGGTAACACCATTTAGGACAATAAATGAAAGGTTGTGGCTATTGGTTATTTCCCAATATAACTACTCCTCCCCTTGCCTAATGAAACTCACATACAACACCATCACAAGAGGAGAGAGGACATCACAAACTCCTTATTATTACATACTCCATCTATCATTGTCCTAAAAGGGATTACATATCCATTTTCTTAGGGCAATGGCCATCCTCTTCTTCAAATCTCTCCAAAATGAACATAGGATACTCTCCAATTCAAGTAAGTCTCTATAAATTTACAGATTTATTGTGTGATGTTATTTGATCTTGGTTATTTATGTGAATAGTTTTCCATCATCAATTTGGCCGAGATAAATTCTATTGTAAATATGTATGTAGTATTGTACCGAAGAGTAATTAGGAATTAAAAACAAATATTTACGAATTTAGCATTTTTATATTAATTTTTTTGCTATTAATTACAAATTTATAGTTTTATATTTTCTAATAGTTACATATGGTATAGTACAAGTACTATTCATATGCTAAATTTTATTTAGCCTTTATTATTCTCATGTGGTATACTACTATATGCGCATACAGTGACCTCTGATGTCTTGGTTCACCACTGGCACAACCCCGCTAGTTTTGATAGAGTATTATCAACAATGAATATTGTGAAGGTTAGGTTGACAACCGGAGGAGTGATAACTGGCTCAATGATAGACTTATTATTTATGTAGAAAAAACATCTTCTTGACAATTGACAATGATGTCATTATCAAGCGATGAAAATGCGTAGAGAACAGTTGTAAAATTGTGAATTTTGTTTTTGTATTTGACTCTGATAAAAACTCTGATTCCTATCATATTTATTTTCATCTTTAATTTTTTGTTGCAATAGATGTTATTTTATACTCCCTCTGTCCCATTTTACTTATGCTACTTTCCTTTTTGGGTTGTCCCAAAATAAGTGTCTCCTTTCCTTTTTTTGGAGAGAAATATGTGGTCTACACCATATAACTTTATTACCACTTCAACCACAACTTTTACTTTTTCAACCAATTCATTAATAATCGTGACAAGTCAAACTAAGACACATAAAATGGGACAGAGGTAGTACTATTTTATACTTGAATACTACGTATAATTTTTGTTAAATACACGTTATTATATTAAATGTTGACATTTTTTTGTAATATAATTAAGTTACTTAATTAAAGTTGGTCACTGTGATCAATAGTGGTGTAGGTCATTGGTGGATTTTTTGTCTCTGGCGGGTTATTGGTCACTGCCTGAGTTTTGGTCACTTTAGCGTTACTGGTTTAATGCAGCACCAACGAGTGATATTATATTAGTACACGGGTATAACAATCTCTTAACCTATTTTTAATCTCATTTTTTGAAATTGAAAAAGGTAACTTTTTTGTCCATAACTCATTTTTAGTACTACTTCCGCCTCGCTAACATTGATACATAATGAGGTGACTCAATTATTAAGAAAAATGGTTTTTATATTGTTGATATTGAATTAATAAAGAATAAACGAGACGGACTAAAAAGAAAAAAATGTGACAATCTTAATTGGCGAACGAGGTAATATCTTTGACATAGCCCTATTTTATTAAGGGGGATTTGACTTTGCACCCCAATTTTTACCCCAATTTTTGGAATACATTAGACTTTGCATCTCATTTTGGAAAAACTTTGACTTTACGCCTCGCATTTTGGGAATAAATAAATTCTAAAAGGGGCGCTTAATTAAAGGGCGGCTTCTCACTTCTCAGAGCATCTTTAATGGAACAATGGACTACTTAAAATGGATTGCCACATCACATAAATAAATATTGGGGTTAAATAACATGCTCCAATGGAAATGTGAATACGGAATCTCCCGCTGAGTTGGAAGGCACGATGTCCGCTGCTCTTGCTACTTTCGGAAGGCCTTTCTCACGGCCAAATCATCAAAAAATTTATTCACGCTGGATGCTTATGCTTTTATTACTCATAAATAATAATAAAAAACCACTTTACATCGGAGAAAAGGGTCAGTTTGGTCCTCGGAGTTGCATAAAAGGGGTCAAATAAGTTCTTATATAGGAGATTCTATCCGGCTATCGCCATTTGGGGCGGTTCCCGGTGGAATCTTTTGATGAAATTTTTTGAGCATCTTATTCATTAAGTCTAGTTCACTCATACCAAATTTGAGATAAAATTCAATCGGGGAGACATTCAAATGAATTCTTGAAGATAACTGTGCAGTTAAAAGCGCTATTATCTTCAAGAATTCATTTGAATGCCTCCCCGATTTAATTTTTAGCTGAAATTTGGTATGAGTAAACTAGGCTTAACGAATAAGATGATCAAAAAAAGTTATCAAAAAATTCCACCGGGAACCGCCTCAAATAGCACGTCCGAACAGAATCTTCTATATAAGGACTTATTTGACTCCTTTTATGCACTTTACTCCCTTTACATAGCTCTCATGCACTCCCACTTTCATATAAATCCAATTATATATTCCACTACTCCCTAATTCCAATTCTTTTAACATTAGCAAATCATAACATACAAGTATTTCAACAAGGGTTACATACCAAATAGAGTAATAACATACGGCAATTTTTTAGTGCAGCGTTACATTGTGGCATACGAACAATTAAATTCACGACTCCATTGGAGCTTAAATATTATTTTAAATGTGTGTCTATCCACCTCAACTTCATAGACCGTTCACATTGATGACATGTCCATTATTTATGTGATGCAATCCACGTTACCATTAAAGATGCTCTCAGTATATCATTTCTCCACGGTCACGGAATAGAGAGATAATGGGATCTCAACTGTCGCCATCGCTGCTCCGCCGTGTGATCGTCCTTGACTCCGAACTTTCCCTGCGTCTCTACAGCATAGCTCGCCCCATCATCCCCTACTACCTTCTCAAGGCATTAGAAATCTCGGGAGACGGCCGCCTATTCTTCCCTGTCATTATATCTCTGCTGCTCACGACCTCCGCCGCCGGCGCGTTTCTCATCAACCTCCTCCTTGCAGCGCTCCTTGATCTGGCTCTGATCGGGCTCATCAAGCACATCATCCAGCGGCCCCGACCCGTTTACAATAAGAACATGTCCCTGTCCTTTGCCGTCGACCACTGGTCCTTCCCCAGCGGACATTCCTCCAGAGTTTTCTTCATCGCCACCATGTTCTACCTATCATCCCATCTCATGCCAACACTCATTTACGTTGTCGGTCTGTGGGCAATCGCCACATCCGGCTCTAGGGTTCTACTTGGCCGCCATTTTGTTCTGGATGTGGTTGCAGGAGCTTGCGTGGGCGTTTTGGAAGGAATGTTCGCGTTTCGATTTCTCCGTTTTGAGAATCTGACCTCATTCTTGTTTAGACCAAAATTGGCTGAATTGTAAAATTTATTGCAGTAGATCCGTCTTTTCTTGTTGTATTGCAGATCCATCCGTAGGGGATGATAAATGAATGGATTGAGTAGCACCGATTATCATAATCAAATTTTCTTCGCCATGAAAAACATTTTTAATCAGGGATCCTTGCAATTTTTAATCAACAATTCATCTCAAAGGCTTTCGACAGAAGTTAGTTCCAATATACATTTACCCAACTGCTCAAATCTCTCTTGATTGCTTAGTCTCAAACTTCCAACATGGTTCATTAGAGAACCGTCACTAATTGACCAAACACTATCAAATTCTAAGCAAGAATTAACTCCACATTGCCTCTTCAGGTGACCTGCAAGGAGCTACTTCCCACACTCCCTGAAATGAAGCCTGATTGCGTGACAAGTCAAGCTAGATCTTGGAGCTAAAGAGTCATCATAAAAATCCCCCCAAATTCACTTACTTGGTGATTTGAACCTCACACCTCGAGAGGGGGAGGATCTTAAATGTGGGATGTGGACCACTCGAGCTCGTCGGACCTGGTATATGTTTCTTTGAGTTGAAATTCCCATATTTTTCTTTGCAATTTAAATTGGGCCATTACATAGACAAATCAAAAAGTACTTTGGCATATAGACATTGGGCCATTTCTTTGAGTTGAAATTCCCATATAGACAACATAAATGAAAAAGTGAAGGTACTCTTCACTACTTTACTTTCACTTCTTTAGTCTACTTAAGTACCCCTCCATCATCCAAAAATGCTTGTCCTATACTAAGAAACCTACGGAAAGCAACATTTAATGAGGGGACGAAGGGAGAATAATCAAAACTATGAGATTGTCCAGTGGTGAAAGAGAAAGCATAGTGAAGTCCTATTAAGTTGTAATAAAGAAGTATTTTTGGGGACTTAATTAGTATCTTAGAAAAGTTCTTTCACTAAAGTTATTATAAAATCTACAGTGCCTAAAAAGACCAATTTTAGCATCTCGAGCAAAACCAAACGTAACGAAAGGGGGTACAATAGATGTAAGGCGCATGTTACCGAGAAATAATGCAAGGCTTACACTTCGTGTAGGGTTGCAATGAATCGAATAATTTGGATTTGATTCATGATTCGAATTCGAAAATGTCGATTCGAACAACTAGAATAACAATACAAATATAAATATGTTTTTTTATTCGAATACACATACAAGTACTATTATACTCCGTATTTGATTAGAACAGTATTCAAATGTATTCAAATTATATGTGTGCGTGTATTAATAACAATAGTACAATGTAAAAAATATTTATAACATAATATATATATATATACATATATATATTAATGAACTCACATAGATATTTTGCATGCTTTATTTTGAATGTTTTAATTAGTCTATTTTCAAGGTAGCTTATCGTGGTGTTATGATTATTAATTGATGTATTTTTATAGATGTTAATTTTGAAGAAGTGCCTTGTAGATACATTTTGATCTTTAAGAAATATATGTACTACAAAAGTGGGGCAAAACGGACAAAATATACACTCTAATCTTAATTACTTTGATAAATGTGACATTTAATTGGTTTTTTTATTCGAATATTTGAATATACTCAAATACAACAAATGAAGCGAATGTGAATATCAAATAAGTCTCGATAGATAAACAAATATGAATATCCAATAACTTTTAGGGCTTTTTATTTGAATATTACTAATTTTGAATCAATTACCCAAAAAGTGATCACTTTTAAAATGGGGAAAAAAAGTGATCAAGAAGATCATATATGTGGAATATAAAACATGATGTCACTGCAAAAAATTTATGTCACCGTGTTCGTTTTTTTGTAACTAAGAGTCGTTATCGTCAAATTTTTTCCCGCCAATTACACCGCCACCACCACCGTCATAGTGACACCGCCATAGTGACGCCGCCACACTGTCACCACCAAAGTGATGCCGGCACAGTGACACCGCCGTCTCCGGGCACAGTGACACGCCGTCTCTGACCACAACGACACGTCGCTCTGGCTACAGTGACATGCATCCGGCCAAAGTGACACACGTTCCCGGCCACGATGACACACCTTCTCAAACCAAAGTGCCATGCCATGGCCACAGTGACATGCCACATACCACCGCCCGCCTCACGTTAGGATGCCGCCCTCCCTCCCCGATCTCTAGCCCTCTCCCCAGCCCATCCACAACCCTTGTACAACTGCTGCCTCACCGATAGTGGGACTTCTCCGGTTAGTTCCCCGGAAATCTAACCACACCACCACCGCACATCTACAGACCTTCGTCACACCCCCGCCAGCCGCGGTGGCCCCAAGTCAGAGTCGGAGTGCATTGAGGACGGCGGATCTAGCACCAGCGGTGCTTCATCGAGGACTTCCTTGCCCCATCACGGCTAGATCACTGCTCATCACCCCTATCCCCCATTGCTGCCACATCCTGTAACCTTTTCCATCGCCTTCCGTCGTGTGTAACCCTAAATCCTTAACGGACGGCATATCCAGCGACGGTGGCGCTCCAGTATAACTGAACCAACATCAGCAGCGGCCCTCAAGGATAGATCTGCGCCCCTGATCGATTTCAGTCAAAGATGTGGAGAAGAAGACGAGATATGGCGGTGGCGAGGCGTCACGGAGGCGCATCGATGAATGAGAAGAAGGAGAAGTGACGACGCCAGCCATTGATCGGAAGGGAGGCCAGAGAAGACAGACGGATTTAGCTTGGAGGGTCTGGACTTGAGTGGAAAAAAGGACAGGAGAGACGATGGATTATTAGTGTTAGGGATTTTAGTCACTTTTTGGTCTAATTGAATATTGATCACATATTTGTCTAATGAAAGTGTGCAAGTGATATACGTGCCATTATTTCTAACTTTTACAAATACATATAATAATTTCAAGTATTGACTCCTATTCGTTTACAATCCTAAATTCCTATACACTTATGGTCGATTAGACACAATTATGCGCCGACACAAACAACTATGCACCAATACACACACATATGTAGGGATGAATTCCGATAAAAAGATCTTCCAAAATGAAAAATACGGAGTAAGAATATATCGGAGTCGTGTATCATAGGAAAATAACAACGACGATAGTGAATCCTACGTGAATAGAGTGCAGATGTGAGGATGGGATTTTTATTAGGGTATGCAAGACACACACGAGGACTTAAGTAAGGGATTTTTAGGAAGTAACATTTATCATTTGCGGTAAATCAGGCTCCACGATGAACATATTCCCAAGAAGCCTATGATTTCCATTTCTAAACATTTCAGTTTTTGAATAAATGAGTAACTATTAGGGTTGCGGTTTGAGTAGAATTGTAGAGGGAGAAACAATATATTAAAGGAAAAAATACGGGTATATGACCATAACTTAACCCATTTCTCAAACAATGACTCATATAGTTTTTTTCCCAATATATGAGTAACCGTGTATTAATTAAAACGACACATGGCTACATGATTGCATTGAAAGACCAATTTAACCTCTGCTAAAAAGAATTTGATTCTCTCAATTTTCGAAATCCTCATTATGTCGATTAGAGCTAAAAGTTCGGCCGGTCAGTTATGGGAAGTAGTTTAATTAAGGAAAAATTCCTAAACCTTCTGCCCTAATTTCCCCAACCAGCGTATATCGGACAGACCGTAAATCGGCAAGGCCATGCGAAGCAGTGAAGGTTACAGTCAACAATATGGTGAGTTTTGTTATGTTTTATTGCAATAATTTCCGGAATTTTAACTGCAATGATTGTAGATTAAAACAATTTTTTTAACAGCAATGATTGTAGATTAAAACTATTTTTTGCAATACATTCAACATATGAATTTTTGTGTGTGCAATGGTTGTAGATAAAATCTATTTTTTTTTTGCAATACATTGCACAATAATTTCCGGAATTTTAACAGTGTGGCGTTGCAGTTAATTTTAACGGCAATGATTGTAGATTAAAACTATTTTTTTGCAATACATTGCGTAATATGAATTTTTGTGTGTGCAATACATGGCATTATCGATCTACTAACGAAAAAGAATAAGGAGGGAGTGGCAGAGAATTAGTTTATGCAGAGGGGAACAAACATGGAAAGAGGTTACCTTACCTTCCGGAGTGGTCTCTTCAGCGGCAAAAAAATGTAAAATTGGCTATTCCAATTACTACTTACACGATTTACTTAGGAGGGTAAAAAGGGAATAGATTTTTTAATTAAATGGACGCATGATGCTAATTGATGGCATGAGATATCATTTTGGGAAAAAAAAGATTGAACTCATAGATTGAGAAACACATAAACTTCTAGTCATATGGGGGTCATTATTTCTATATTAAACCCATAAAGGAAATTTGTGGCTAGTACAAAAGTTGGAAGAATGGCGGAGAAAGTGATAGGCACAAATGTTAGTATAGCAGAAGGTAAGTACAAGAGCATGCATGGTCCGAAGTATTTCCAAGTGAGGATGTACAAGGGAGAGGGAGTGGAAGGATAGGAGACGTGACTGAGAAGGGATTACAAGCAGTAACTAGGTGTGCTTAGAGTGAAGTGTGAATCATCAATAGTGTTAAGAGAAAATGAAAAATATGGTAAATCTAACAGAAAAGGTGAAAAATGGAAACCGAAGTTCAAAACAATTGAAAGGGGAAAAAGTGAACAATTTATGTTACATTGGTTTTTCAAATGTGTTGGAAACTGGATATTTAATGTGTGGTGTAACCCTATGTAAAATAAATTACGTTTTGTAGTGAGATGGGCAGGTGATATGAAGAAGATATTACAAAAAAAGTATATTACAAATAACTTAATAATTATTGATAAGAGTATCAATAAACACAACAATCAAAACTCGAAGCATTACAATCATAACGCTCAAAGTTATATTAGGGTGAGACAAAGAACAAAAAACACATATAAAAGCGCTCCTTTCGCTAAACCTGCAACGATATAGACTAGTCCCGCAGTGAGGCGGTTTGTTCCGGTTTCACCAACCACCGGAAAGAAAGCAAACCCATGCAATTCCATCTTCCTGGATCGACGGTGGTTCAGGATGGGGATGATCAGCCTCAATATTGATGCAGAAGAAATCCAGATTTACGATTGATGAAGAAGCTGTTAGAAATCTATTACTAGCACGCAAAAACATCTGACTGATGATGGCGGAGAATATACATCTGGCAGGCGACGATTCGCCACCGAAAATGACATCTCGAGACAACACTAGGAAATAAACGTATAGATAGAACTGAAAATAGTGAATAAACCAATCCTTTTCATGATTGAAGCCAAAAAGATTGAAAGAAGAGAAGAAAAGAAGAAGATGGGACTAGGGTTTCCCCATCACCCTCCTCTCTCTAGGTTGTTAAGTTTTTGACATTTTATGCTACTTTTAGTTATCATTTTGTGTTAGGTTATTCATATGTTATTGATCAATTACAGAGTGAAATTCATGTGAATTTAACTTGATATATTGGTTCTAGCGAGAGTGTCTTGCTATCAGTTTGTGACACTTGATGCAATTGATGGGCTGGAATTGGTTTATATTTATTTTTTAAGTCATATGCATTGGTATAGTGTGCTGACTGAGAACTCAATGACTCATATAAGACTAAATATACACAAGATATAATTATTTATTCAATAAAAAGGGAAAAGTAACTAAGATTTTGGAGGTATGCAAAGTACAAGTTTGATTGAAATGTTTTCTGAACAAAATTTGCAATTGTATAA